GGGTGTGGGTATGGCTGGGTGTGGGTGTGGGCACTCATGCACTTTACATCCACACCCACACCCACACCCCACACCCATCCACACCCACCCCCACACCCACACCCACACCCACACCCACACCCACCCACACCCACACCCACACCCACACCCACCCACACCCACCCACACCCTTCACACCCAAACTTAGACTCACACTCATCCACACCCTACGTAGTAGACAATCGTATGTGATATTTGGAGAAGCAACCGAATCAGTTGATATAACATCGTTTCCAGAACACAGTAACAACTGAATGTTGATTCTAAAAAGCTCACTTTTGTCTGTGCATCGAACAAACCAATGAAGGATACTTCTTTTGTGCAACTAGTGACTGACTCACATAATAGTTATATCTATCAAGTTCTTTATGTTTTAGATGTTGCAGCCTATAGAAAATTTGCATTTGCTTTTTCAAATGCATTTATCTTAGTTTATGATTTAAAGTATCTAAAATTAAAATCATAGTCAAAATCCATGTTTTATGCCACTCACTGTTGATGTGGCCAATCATTGTGTTGTTGTTGATGGGTTTACACAAAGTTAACATTTTTACCTTAGCTGTCTACACGATCATATGCTATTTGTGCGCATTGAATGCAATGAACAATTGACACTTAGTATAGATTAAAATGTTGAGAATAGTCTGATCCTGTTGGTTGTTGATTCAAAAAAAACTACGTCTGTACCATCAAACATTCGCCCTATATGGGTGTGGGTGTGAGATCTTCTCATCATCCACACCCACACCCACATCCACACCCACACCCACACCCACATCCACACCCACACCCACACCCACCTCCACACCCACATCCACACCCTAAATGCTACGGTAACTCTGAAAGATTTGTCTTTTTGCTTTTTGTTATATTCGCTAACCTTTTGCTGTTGAGATGAATCATGTCCCGACAAAGAGCATAGACAAACGTTCTCAGTAAAAAAAAAAAGACTCGTAGAAAGTGTTCTCGCGTGCTGGAATAAACATATTTTCAAACAATCAAAGAAAAATTAATCTTTACTCCAGTATGATATATAGATTTAGAGTCCTGCAACCCGACCCGACCCGCGGACGGGTGCGGGTTCAGTATTGGCGGGTCGGATCGGGTGCGGGTTCAATATTGGCGGGTCGGGTCGGGTGCGGGTTAAGCATCTGTCGGGTCGGGTCGGATGCGGGTTTAATTTTGAAATATATCGGGTTACATTATATTATAATATACACTTCTGCCCTCTATTTTTTTTCTATGTTATACTCGAAGAATAATCAGGAATACATGAACGTATATTTTCTGGTATTTTTTTTGTATATATTGAATACAATAATAATATGATTGATTGATTTGATGAATATAAACGAATGTAATTTCTCGGGTCGGACCGGGTCGGGTTTAGATTAAATTTTGTCGGGTCGGGTCGGTTTCAGGTTTAAATAAAATTTTCGGGTCGGGTGCGGGTCCAAAAAGTTGAACCCGCGCAGGACTCTAATATAGATGAACTATTTCATAAAATTAGTGTTATTGATATTGAAGCTCTGCAAATTGTGGTGGAGTCTTGTTCTCATATCCATAAAACTGACTCATTTTTGGAGCTATTTGCCACCATGCTTTCTTTAATACAGTTTCCCATGCATGATCGTTAATCGGTCGAATATTACTCCAAGAGTCAAAATGTTTTTTCACATGTTCAAGAAAATTGAGACTACCACCGTGTTCATAATCTCCAACTTTAACATGACTTCTTTCAGTATCAACTTCGACACATCCTTTAATTGTTTGAACGTTATCATTAGCATGAGTTTGAATCCTAACTTCAAAGTCTGAAGATTTACGACCGTTGCCTTTTGGTCCTTCATAGTAGTTAACAGAAACTTTGTATAAACCGTTTTTGGCTGGTTTGAAATAGGCATTTTCTGTCGGCTCACTGGCTGAACATTTCTTTGCGGAACATGAATTTCCGTGATAGCAAACATTCATATCCAGATCGAGGTATCCAGCACAGCTAGAACATCTTTTATTACCAAAATACAGTTCAGTTCCACACGGACAAGTAACATGTAAATCTAAATCATTACTATCCCACCACACTAATGTTATTGTCACATCTCCTTCACCAACTGAATAGTCCTTCATTCTTTGTCTAATAAGCTTACTATCACGAATTGAAAGTTGACTTGATGAGTTTTCTTTCCATCTACTATGTCTTATTGTATTGTCACTGTTGCATAAATCAAAAACAAATCCTTTATTACCATTATCAAGCTTTTCAAATGATCCATTAAATGCCATTAGTCGGTGTTTATCAGAATGATGTTTCGTATGACCCTCTGTAATGTCTGTACACTTACAACCACAATATGGGCATTGTTCAATACATCCTAAAGCTGTTTGCTGATTTCCAACTTTGATTTTGTCTTTTTCTTTCAGCATATCGTCAGTTAATTTGAATGTAATCTCGTTGTTTTTGTTTTCATTATAAAGGGAGTGTATAGTATTTTTAAAAGATGTTAGGAACACTTTTGGATTGGTTATTGTATAAATTGAAATGGATATATTTTGGAATAATTTGCTTGGCTGCAGCAATTCTGTGTTGGAATGGCAGTAGGTCAACTTTAATGATTGTGTTAAATAGGTATTTATTAATTTCTCATCGATGTTTTGTTCAAGATAAGCTTTAAAAAATTTTGTAAAGTATGTATTATGACTATCTGCATGTAATGCATTCCAATTATAATCCATAAAAATTCTTTCTAGTTGTTCTAGTTTACTTCTCAAGATCTCATATTGTTGATTGTGGATTGTTGAATACTTTTGATTATATGCCATTTCTATATCACATACTTTCTCTTCAAAATATTTTAAGTACACCTTTTCCATATAATCAACCATCTTGGTAGTATATTCATAGATCCCATCTTCATCAAATTTTCCATTTGCTTCATAAAAAACTTTATCACATAGTTCAACCAATTTATCTGCATTAAGATATGTGCCTTGTTCTAAATCACGTTTATAGTCAATTTCTATCTTAAACATTATTATGTTTTTGAAGTTATTGAACACTTTCGTGGCCATGTCCGTAGCATTTTCTGCATCTCCAAAAGCAGCATCAAGTCTTTTTGTAAGATCTTCCAATATTCTATCCACATCTTTTTCAAAATCTTCTTTTATTTTTTTATATGTATTTTCTTCATCGGTAAACATCTTATCCACGATAATTTCATGTAACCAGTCAATTAATTCATTTCCAAACGTATTTGTAAATTCTAAGTCATGCTCTTCCATAAATTTTTGGCTGAGTTCATGCATTTTTGCTTCAATTTGTAAAATATTTTGTTTTAAAGATGTTATTTGATATTCAGCACTTTCGATTATCTTATTTTTAATGCTCTCTTGAAGATATTCATTCATTTCGTGAAACATAGAACAAACAAGAACTACTGCGTCTGGAGTAATACCAGCTTCTTGTATTTTTCTTATAGGTAAACTTTGTGAAGGAGATGTTAGGTTGAGAGTTTGTTTTTCAGAAGTTGGACTCTGTGGATGTAATGAACTGCTGTGATTCTTGCTTTTCTTTCCTGTATAAAGTATTTGAAATATACTTGAAACCCATGAATTGACTTGCTTCCATTTTTGTGTCAGATAGTTCGAAGACTTTTCAATATAGATCTCGTTCTCAGTTAAACACGAGTTATTCTCCACAATAAAATTGCGTCTCATTTGCCAGTACTTCTGTTTTCTTTGAACAAGTACTGGTATTTTTTCCAGTAATAAGTTCTGTTGATGTGAACCCTGCATGTTGTTAATGAGTCTGATTATATTGATGGATGCACTTGTTGCTGACGATTTTTGATCGAGTTGTGTTATACTAAAAAATCTTTTTTCAACAGGAATTGTGCCTACTGCTGATTTAATTTGTTGAATTACAAAATCTCCCCACTGAACACGAGTTTTCTTATTTTTATTTATTTCGTTTTCTGTATCATTTTTAATATTATGCATGTACTTTTTAAAATCATTTATAATATCGTTTTTGGCTTCTGTCTTTTTCTCATCAACAATACCTTGTTGAAGTTTTTGCCATTGAAGAATTTTAATTTCGCTTAGGTTTTGTAATTCTGTTAAAGCGGCTTGCGTTTTATTTTTCGTTTTTCTTTTTTCAGCAATTGCTTTATACTTCTGAAGTGCTTGTGTTTTGGTTGTTGTTATAGCAGATAATAGTCGATCTTTATATTCATTCATTAATTTTACTGCATACGATTTTGATTTAACTCGATCATCAAAAATTTGTATAACTTTTTCTTTACAGATTTCCATCTCATTATCAAACTGTTGTTCAACATTCGAAAATACATAAGATGGATTGTCCATCAGTTCTTCTTGTTCCGTTAATATTACTTCAAGTTTTGAACGAAAACTTGTCTTTGTTTCATTGGGTTCAATATATACTTCTATGATTTTTGTAATGATATCACTAAGTTCTTTCCTTTCATTAATTTCTTTAACGGATTCCATCATAATCATATCATTGTATAGATCAATTGTTTCCCAAACATCTGATGCTTGTTTAACCCAATCAGAAAGACTTTTGAACTTTGGTTCTGATATATTTGCTTCAGCAAAAATCTTCTCTCTTAGTTCTTGACTGAGTTTGGCAAATTTAATATTTGTTGTTGATTTTTGAAAAAGTTCTTCACCTTTATTGTATACAAAGTCTTTATTAAAAGCCGTAAACATTAAGAAAAATGCTTTTTCTTCCTTGAAATCTAGCACTTGGCTTAAATTAAGTTTAGTCAGTTCAGTAACTTCTTGTAATTCTTTTTTAACATTATCAATCATTTCTCTTTGTTTATTAATATTCAAATCCATCATATTTCGTAAAACAAATATAATAATTGGACGAGTCTTGAATACTCTTAACTGATTGGCAACAAACAGACTAATAGAGAGAATTTTCTTCATTGCTGAATTAATTTCTCCATTTAAATTGATAAGCATTATCTGTGAACATGCCATAGAAAATAAAGTTAACTTTTTATCATATTCATCATTTGCTTTTTCAATAGATAAAAGTCCTTCTGTGTCAAGTACAAGTAGTGTTTTTGTTTTCGGATATTTTGTTTTAAAAAGTGATGCGTATAAACCTTTTGTACAACGACCAGCACTTGTTTGAAAGTTACTACCAAATAACATGTTTAAAAGAGTAGATTTACCTGTACTTTGTGGTCCAATTACTGAAACAACAAATGGTGGTTCTTCATTTACTTGTCTATATTTTTTTTCAAGTCTTTGAAAAATTTTTGAGACAATTTCGTAATTAAAAGTGTTATTATCTCCATCAATAATTTCAATTTCATTTCCTTTAATCATATATTCTACAAATGAATTAATATAAAGATCTTTATTAAGATTTAGTTTTGGATCCTCATTGTGAGAATTTGTAGTCGTTAAGAAGTCCTTATCGTCGTAAATAGCAAGTAATTCTCTCATAAAGAGATCTCTATTGATTGTTTTATAGTCGATTAATTCTGAAATTTGTTTCTTTTGTTTTTCTAAATTCTTTTCTAATTCTTCTTTTGCTTGTAATTCACCGGAATTCATATTTTGTGTTTGTAATTGTTTCGAATTATGGTTTTTTGCTTGAATCTCAGCAACTGATGTTCGACAAGCTTCTAATTCATTTACTATTTTGTTTCTTTCATGGAATAATGGAGACAAAATGGGATTTTGCCAAACACTGACTCGCTTGTCTAATTCATTAATCAAATGAAACTTTTGTTTCAAAAACAATTCATTGTAGCGGTATACTAATGTACTTGGTTGTGCTCTTGCTTTCTTTTGAGACAAATGAACTATCTCTTGATCAATTAGAGCTAATGCGGTATGTTTTGCTGCAGTATCTTTACCAATGTGTTTAACTTTTTCGTTTCGTTGAACTTGTATCTGCTTATTTAAATCGACATGTTTAAACAAATACACTTGCAAATTCTCCATGTTAACATCAATACTTGTTAAATGCTCATCAATCGAAACCGAAAGTTGTCTGACAGAATCATCTTGAATATCTATATAAATATCTGGATATTTTTCCTTGTATATTTTATTTTCGATTTCCAGATAAACATTGTAGTTTTCTTTTCGAAATCCAGCTCCGTTTGGTTTCCTAGAGGTATCGCCAATCCCAGTTAATTTAAATAGTTTCTCTCTCAAAAGTGCCAAGTTTGAGTTGAATGCCGTACTATTTTCTTCAATTTTACGAATACATAAAACTTGATCTTTTCTGTTCTCCATTAACTGTTCTATTTGTATTTTTGTTGCTTCTCTGTAATCTCTAACGATACAAATGACTTGATTGTTATTTACACCAAATGATTTCAATATTTTGATTATTGTATCAGTTTCATCTTCAGATTTACTTTGAAGAAGTATCCAACAGTTTTCAAGAGGCATCATTTTGAAAAACACTTCAAGAAGTTTGTGTTGCTTGCAGACATAGCCGTGAATATCAAATATTGTGAAGCCACAGGAAAATTCTGGTGTTGAAAACAAAACATCGATACCATCATTGATTATTCCAGCTTTATTTGTAACAAATCCAGCACTGTAAATCTTGTTTAAAAGGGTACTTTTACCAATCGAATCAGAACCCAGAGAAATGACTATAGGACAGTCGACTGATAAACAGTGTGAATAAGCACGAAGAAGAATTTTCCACATTAGTTTATCTTCAACTACCCATTGGTATGCAAACGGTAAAGCAATACCTAGTTTCTTGATCAATGATATAATAGTCAGTTGATGTTGTTGATACCGTTCAATCATACATACAAATATCGTTTTATAATCCATGCCATATAGTTCTGATGATTCATCCCAAAAAATATCTAGTTCACAAATTTCACTTAAATCAATTCCTGTCTTTAATTTACTTAATATATATGGCAATATTACATCGAGTAGTGATGTGTTACTAATGCTATTCTTTTGGTCTTCAACAATTTGTTTTAAATTATTATAATTAAGTGGTAATATTTCTGTAAACAATTGATCCATATAATTGTAATGCGTTCCTAACATTATTTTTCGAAGAGATCTGATGGCTTCCAACTTTTTGTCGTGATTGTTTTCATCGATCAAATCGGTTGTAATCGATGAAGACGGCAGGCTCTGTCTGCTATCATCGATATTTATTGACATAGTAACATTCTTTTCATGAAATACTTTACTTCGAATTTCCGTATCATTATATAAATCCAACTTGACTTTCTCGAACTTTTCATGTGTGCACCTCTTTTCAATTAATTTCATTCCGTTTTCCGAGTTCACATATAATTCTGAAATAATTGTATATACATCATCACTACTACCAGTAAATTGAATATATTTTTCTAATATACGTTTAATATTATCAAAAATTAGCATATTTGATTTCCAGATATGTTTTAACTTTTTATTTGATTGAAGTGTGACGATAAACTGTTTGATTTTTTTAGGACTTGTATTATCTTCCAAAACAGCAGCAATATTTTTATCTTTATTATCATAAAGTTTTTGTAGAAGTGATTCAAGTTCAACGTTATCCAATTGAATCTTTTTGGATACGAATAGTTTAGTTATTTCTGACTTGAATTCGATAAAAGAATCATCGGTAACATTTGATTTTGATGAACTTTTAGCATCCCAAATCTCATTAAACTTTTCCATCAGCTCGATCTCAAATCGTGGGAAGTTAGTTTTAGCATTTCGCATGTTATCTTTAATTTGTTCCAAAATTATCATGTCTTTATAAAATAGCTGTTGTGACACGTAATTAAAATCCAGTTCATCATCATCCGCTTCATATTTAGTCAACAATAATTTTAATTCGTTTTTAAATTTGTTGAAGAGATTATTTTCTTCTACACATTCACTCGAATCGTTTGGTTCAGTTTCTTCTAAATGAAGAAAAAATATTTTTATTTGCAGCACTACGCGAGACAAAGTTTTTCTTTTAATAAAAATTGAACTAGAGAAACGTGATTATCTTACTGAATATCTGACGGGAATTTTGATAATGTATTTAGATTATGTGCTTAAGTCAATCAAAAACACTGGACCCAACAAGGTCGAGATTGGGTTATTTTTCAGTTTTCTTTCGACTTTTTATATAACCAAAGAACTCATTAGATCGTTACTCGATTCGATATGAAAGACAAAGATCCTGAGATAACTGTAGTCTGGCAGTTTATTGATTAATTTATAATGAACAGGATAAATTTGATATACTCAAATTCTGTTATTGAGTTTGGGTCAAGGGGGAAAAGCGAGACTTCATCTACTTCAAAAACAATTTGAAGTACAGTGAAGTACGAGTGGAGTACGATTGAAGTACGAGTGAAGTACGAGTGAAGTACAACTGAAGTACGAGTGAAGTACAGTTGAAGTACCAGTGAAGTACAGTGAAGTACAACTGGGTGGGTGTGGGTGTGGGTGAGGGTTAAGGAAAGAAATACATCCACACCCACAAACCCACACCCACCCACATCCACACCCACACCCTGAAACATCGACTATGATACAAATCTTATCAGATTTTCAATATGACACTCCCATAGCCCAAAATAAAATCCGGATTCATGAATATTCTGCAGACTTCTCGTTTTCGCTGTTCGAGGTAATTTAAACGACACTTAGCGCGAAGAGACGGGCGCTAGTCTATTGTGAGAGCTAATGAACAAAATTCGATTAGCTGAAGAGATAATTAATCTATGCAGCGGCATCATTGACTTCAACGATCTTCATATGATCTTGAAGAGGTTTCAATGCAATTCACTTGTTCATGGCTTCTTTTCGATTCCTTTCAATGATCGTCAGCTGATCGACAGAAAAAACACAATAGATAACCTATTACCTTCGACAATTATCGATTCTTTCAAGTTAGCTTCCGCGCACCGTATTTCGCATTTGGGCGAAGCCTAAATGCCGTCTAGTTTATTTATTTATTTATTTATTAATGCGGTGCGAAGCACAGCATTTATGTAGTCTTTAGCGAGTTTTTAATGCGGTGCAAAGCACAGTATTTATGTAGTCCTTCGCGAGTTTTTCAGGTGCGAAGCACCTATTTAGAACTGCGTCGCGAGTTTTCTTTCCCTCTTTCTTGCTTTGTTTCTAGCTAGACCATACGCAGATTTTTTCACATTTTGTGTCGCAATGATCTCCACAACCGATAGTTAGAAAATCCTCGTTCAAGCATCTGATGAAAGCGTCGAGGTTGAACTGAAATCTCCTTTTTTTCGATTTTCGTTACGATGTTCCATTCGCATACAAACAGGGTCGACAAAAGACAAATTTTTCAGGACTTTGATTTTTTTCAAACTTCGAAATAATTAAATCATAAAAAGTTAGGCGCCATTTAGTTCACTGATGTCTAAAACAGCTGTAATCACAGCTGATGATAGATAATGGGGGTGGGTGGGGTGTGAGTGTGGATGTGGGTGTGGGTGTGGGGTGTGGGGGTGGGGTGGGGTGTGGGTGGG